GTGTTTTCAGCTCAGTAACCTTCCCACCGCTCCAGCAGCCGCCAGTGGCTACTCAGGCAGTACGTTCCCTCAGCTTCCCTGAAGCACCCCAAACAGTTTCACCTGCATGTCTGAGTCCTCTGAGGGCCAGGGTGTTCCCATGAGTGACCCTGGCTGAGCGACAATTATGTCATTTACTGAAATGAGCTTGAAGTTCCATGGGACAGGGCCCTGCAGACCTGAAGGCCTCGCTGAAGACCCCGTAACTGAAGCAGAAAGCTTCAGGAGGGATCAGGTAATGGTGAATGGGGTGGGGGTCTCTTCAGGCCAAGAGAGCCCCCTGAGCAAACATGACTGTCAGGCAGCCACTGGCCTGGCCAGGCCTGGCACGGAGGGAGGGATGGGAGTACAGCTGGACGCGTGGTGGGACTGCGAGTGGAGGTGTGGTGGGAGCGGGTGCTGGGCGAAGCATGTGGTGCTCCAGGCAGCACCGGAAGGGCTACACGATCAGATCACTGTGAGTACTGGGTGGGGAAAGGTGAAGGAGTGGAGGCCTGGTGTGGTAAACGGTGCCCATTCCTCACCAAAAGCCACCCCGCAACCTTGTATCTTCCTAATAGAATTCCAATTTTGTTCAAGAATCAGGCTGCAACTGTGATTTCAAGAAGGTAGCGTGGGGGCGCTGTGTGACCCACTTCTCATCAATCAGATGTAAAGGGAAAGTTCTGGGAGGCTGTGGGAAACCCTCTCCCCATAGGACCCAGGTGTCCAGAAGACATGCCTGCCCAGAGCTGCCAACAGGCAGGCCAAGCTGCTTGTCAATGCTGAGCTGTCCTGTACCCCTGGCAGGAGGCCCAGAACCACAGCAATACCAGCCACAGTCTGGGCCTGCACCATGGGCAGCCACAGCCCACCTCTTGCTCTTACGGTCCAGGGTGGAGAGAGGGTCCCCTGGTTCATGCTTCTGATAGGAGGGCAGTTTCTCATATTCCAATGCATCACCTGGATACACTCCTGGTCCACCTGACTGTTTAAACCAGATGTCCAGATCTCTTAAGTCCTTTAATGTGCCCTACTCCAATGTCACAGCTACAGGATCATCTATTTACCAATATTTCCCTCAAATTCTGGTTCTGCCGTCTCTGACCAGCTGCCACTCTAAATCAGTTTGGCTCCAGAATTCACGCGGGCAGCACACTAGTCATTTTACCTCTGCTGACTCCCCCAGACCACTCACGGCAAGTGGTTATTTATAATCTCCTTACTCTTCTAGAAGTGGACCACGAGTTTCTGCAGAAAGAACTAAGATTCTAAGGACACCACCTATAAACTTCAACCTCAGGGGGAATAAATAGATATTTTTCTTTTAGAACGTCTAGGTTTCAAGCCTAGAAATGATATTCTAACTTGAAATCTAGATCCCAAACAACTGAAAAGGTAAAAAGGAAAATTAAAGCTGGGTCATGTTATTGCCTGGAAAAACGACAATCCTATACTCTCTCTGTGCTGTTTGCAGGGACAGGTGTGGCTCCCAGGAGTGGTGGCTTTGGGTTCTGTGGAAATCAGACCCTTCCTCAAAGTTTTACAGAAGTATGTCATGTGACTACAGATTAAGCAGCCAGCAAAACGCATATGGGGTATATCAGAGAGGTTAAAAAAATAAAGAGCTTAGCAAACCACTAAAGACAAAGAAATGAGAAGAAAAAGAAGCCTACAAAATATTGTATCCTATCAATTTTCCATTTATTGTATGAGGAAGAAACCTACCTTCTATTTTTTTAAAAAAAGGACTTTTCAAGGCTTTTCAGAGGCTCTTTTGACAGTATCTGGGTCACTTGAGTAATCTAAACTGGAAACTTACATAGATTTACTGAATCTATTAGATCACAGAATGGTTTGGCACTGCTTTTCCCCTTTGTAAATAGCTTATTGTATTCTTTTTCATAATATTCACCTTCTGCCAAGCATTAGAGTGGATGAATGCGCTGCTCACAGGGTACATGATGTTGCTTGGTGATTAACAGGACAGTTACTCCCATACCTGCTGAAGGCAGTTATATTTGAAAGTTGTTGGCAAAAGGTCAAGTGAAACAATTGAAAACTGAAGAATTAGGATTTACCTTAGGAATGCAAGCATGGTTTTACACTAGACCACCTTAGAAAATCTATTGTTATAACTTACTCATTAACAAATTAAAGGGGAAAAAAACCCGATTACATAAAAACTATCAGATCATGTCATTAGCTATAGAAAAAAATTCAATCCCCATCCTTTAAAAACAGTCAAGTAGTCAGGCATGGTGGTGCCTGGCTGTTGTACCAGCTACCCAGAAGGCTGAGGTGGGAGGATCAGCTGAGCCCAGGAGTTCAAGACTGCAATGAACTATATCACCACTACACTCCAGCCTAAGTGACAAAACGAGAACCTGTCTCTAAAAATAAAAAAACCATATCATAGTTTTGTGCTAAAACTTCTCCTGTTATCCTTTGGACATGAATCTCTTCAGTACTATCATTTAAATTCATGGTTGTTGGTGGGTTAGTTGATATTCTATAGTAGAGATACAATAAATATTAGTCCATTTAGGAGGTCTGTTTTGCTTTTTCTGCAGTAATGTAAAAGGGCAGGAAGATTAGTATGTTACAAGTCACTGGAATTACAAATCAGTTTCTGTGCACTTAAGATAGCACAAAATCACAGGCCTAGGGTCTTGATGGATATAAAAGAAACCCTATGTGATAGCATGCCCCCATCTTTACCTCAAACTCTCACCTAAAAATACTAGCTAGGACCTTTCCCCTCCTACTATCAGTATTTTATAATTCTAGTTAGCACTCAATAAGATCTGGGATATATAAATAATAACAGTTTGATTTTAAACATATACGTTGTGCCTTGTACTCTACAGAAAATGCAAATGATTTCTTTTAAGTTAGATTTAGTTTATTCTAGAAGATTATAGATTTTATTGTCTCTATTTACCAAAGCTACAATACCTTTAAATGCTTTCATTATCAATCAAGGGTAAAAAAAGTTAAATGAAGAAATAATTTTACTCAAGAAACTAGTAAGAAACCAAAGAAATGCACAAAAATAGGACAAAAAAATTAATAAAGATAAAAGCAGAAACAAGTTAATCAGAAACAGATTAACAGTGGAATAGATAAACTGATCCAACTGGTTCTTTGTAATGGAATGTGGACAGACATACTCTACTCTTCTGGATAGGAAGACAAAATATGATAATCATATCAACGCAAGTTTTTATACATGCTCAAACATGTATAAACTGAGAAAAGGCCTGAAAGGACATATAGCAAAATGTTAGCAGTTTTTCTCCAAGTGGTGAGATTAAAGGTAATACATTTCTTTTTTATACTTTTCTGCTTTTTTAAATCCTCATAATGAAAACATAATTTTATGATCAGAAAAAATAAGCTACCTTAAGATGTCAAATTATTTCTCATTGATATATACACTGTAATGCCAATCAAACTACCAAAAATACTGAGGGATTGAGAAAGAACTTCAAGAAGGTCCACATGGGAGATAAAACATTTTGCAAGAGAGTAGTGAGTAATCAAGTAAAAAAAGAATATTCTTATTCCATAAGATATTAAAACCCAATACAAAGCCTGACTGGTAATGGAATTACTTACATACTTTCAATAAAATACCTGCAAATTTAGGATACAGACAAAGATAGAACTCCTTAACATGACCCACCACTAAAACCATCAGATGGCTAAATGCGGAATCAGGTTGCAATGGACTCATCTTAAGACAGATGAAGCAGTGGAGAAAAATCTCGTGAGAACTCAGGGCAAAATCTGTTTCTTGAAACAATGACAACCCCTGAAGTAAGGTAGGAAGATGTTTTGAACTCCTCTTGCCAGCAGATCCCTAAATCAGACCCAGAACTTGGAGGAAACAGGGAATAGGCTGATTAAAGTATTATTTTTTAAAAACGAGAAAAGTTATTATTTATTTGGTCTTGGGCTATGGAAGATCTTCCTAAGCAAAAAAGGTTTTAAAAATGAAATGATTAACAGATTTAAATGATAATACCAAGTGCTGGCAAGGGCTCGGGGAAGCACATGATCTCATGACCGCTAGGATGAATAAACTGGCATAATATTTCTGAAGGGCAATCTGGCTGAATGTGTTGAACGTCTTTAAAATGTTTATACTCTTTGACTCGGTAAGTCATCGTCTAGGAATTTTTCCAAAATAAACAGTAAGACATATAAAAAAGTATTTATAATATTGAAAGACTGGAAAGACCACAAATGTTTGACTATATATATGTTCAACAACAGGGACCTAATAAATATGAAACATTTATATTAAAATGCTATCTGGCCTTTAAAAGAATGTTTAAATGAGTATTTAATGATGTAAATATGCTGATTAAAAAGTTTAATCATTTCTAAACTGTTAAATGCAAAAAGAAAGTTAATAACATGTATAAGATGATTCTAAATTTGTTTAACTTGTATGATACATATACACACACATATATCTGGAAGAAAACACAAAAATAGTGGTAATTTTTGGTGGAAAATTGGGAGTGATTTAATTGTCTGTTACTACCAGCTAAAAGCATGCTGATAGACCTGGCAAACTCCCACTCAGTCTTCAGAACTCAGCTCAGTTGCTATTTCTTCCAGGAAGTCCTTCTATACCCCCAAACCCCATGTTATACCAGGTGCCCCTCCTTTGCACTAGACTAGAGCCTGGGCATAGGCTCTATAATATTCTTTATCACTGCATCATACTCTGACTTCACTCTACATCCCCACTACACTTTGAACCACACATAATCAGAAATCTAGGGCTTTCTTTTTTGTATCCCCAATTCCAATCTCTCTGCAATCTAACAGGACTTCAAGCTGGAATGCTGGCTTCATGAATGAAATAGACTGAGCAAATGCTTCTATGTGCTCTGTAAAGTTAGAGGGTAAGAGCAGAAATATGAACAAGGATGAACAAATACCAGCAAAGAATTGTCTCTTCTCACCTTGGCCAGCAGGCTGGAAACATGTTTAATTTCACCATTTGCCTTTAGTAATTCTTGTCTGAGCTCATTGCAAGACAGTTCCAGTAGATCTTTCTCCGCTCGGGCTACTTTCAACATTTCTTGAACTTCGCAGCTCTCTGCCATCTGCCCTATGGCAGTGGCCTCTGTGGCTTTCTGCTTCTCACCCTGCAAATGAGACTTCAAAGATCCATTCTCCGTTTTTAGCCCTTCCAAGGTAACTCTACACTCTTCCAAAGTTTTGGCCATGATGTTATTATTATGCCGTTCCAGTTCCAGAAACTCATTCAGTTTTTCATTTTCTTCCTTCAGGCGTTTAATCATTTCTAAAGCTCCTTGGTTTTCTTCCTCAACCTTCCGCAAGCTACAGGTCAACTGTTGCTGAATATTGAGAAGCTTCTCTCTTTCAAAGTGGCCCTGCTCAAGAATATCTGTACACTTCTGCTCCAGTTCAAGGATTTTTCCTTCCTGAGTGGTAGGTTCTTCATTCTTTACTCGCTCTTGTAAAAGAGTCATCAGCTTCTCATTTTCTTGACTTAGCTGCTCTGCCCTCTCTCGATGCTGATGAAAGGATGTCTCTAAAATTGTCTTTTCATCCACCAGCTTCTCATTTTCAGCTGTCAATTCTTGCACCATTTGTTGCTGGTCTGATAATTCTTGTAGAGTAGCCTGCAGTTCTTCTGCAGTGCTATGGTGATTTTCTTCCATCTTTTGTATCTTCTCTGTGAGGGAAGCCAGGGACAATTCGCTTACGTTGTTTGGGGAACTCCCAGTGGTAGAACACTTTGAACTCTTAAAGGGGTTACTGGTCGAGGACAGGGGCCTTGAGGGTGTCTCTGCTGTTATGTGCTCAAAGTCGGAGGCATCTGGTGACAAAGAAGCTTTGGTAACATCGCTACTTGAGGAGCCTGATGTCCGTAATGAGTTTCCATGTATGTTTTTTTTATACTCATCAATGTCACTGGACAACTGATTTCCAGTTGGGCTTCCAAAGCTTGACTCTTGAGTTACGGATGTTGGGCAGCTGCTGTCGCCAGTGTGACTGGCTGCGCCTTCTGAATTTGGGGAGTGCTCAAGATAGATGAGTTTCTCCTTCAGGGCCTGGTTTTCTTCCTCTAGATCAGAGAGTTCTTTCTGAAAGTTCTTGTTCTTCTCCTCAAGAGCTCTTATCATAGGTTCCACGTCACCGGGGGAGACTGATGTTGCATCTCCATTTGGGCCCAAAGCATCAGTCCCCTCAGTGCTCAGAGTCCTTTTCTCTTTGCATTTCTTTAGCTCACTTCGAAGCCTGTTAATTTCACTATCTTTTGCTTTGGCTTCTGCCAAAAGTTCCCGAACTTGGGACTCAAGTGCAGCCTTTTCTCCACCTTCATTGTCTTGCTTGGGCTTTGCAGAAGGGGTCCTCAGGTGTTTGGTGGGAGTGGGAGTGTTGGAAGAAGTTGGACTGGACACTGATTTCCTGGGGTTGGAGGGACCACGTGGCACAGACCTCTCTCTTGAGACAGTCACTGAAAATTCCCGTGGTGCTGGAATGCCTGTCCGTTTGGTTGTTGTAAAGGCCCCTTAAAGACAGAAGAAAAAAAGTAAAAAAATAAAGCAAGCACTCTTATAAACAAAACCCAAATGACTGTAAATCACATGGCACAGTGGACAGTGGCTGTCGTTCTTCATCCATTTCCTCCTCCTCTAGCTAATTACCCAGTTCTGACTAGGGTTTCTGTGCTTCCTCCCACAGCCTATACTTTGGGTGAGGCTGACTCCACGCCTGAGCTACTCAGGATGACTCCATCCCCAGGCAGTTGCTGGTTCACACATGGGCACACACCTCAATTAAGATCAATGTGACAAAGGGAAGGGTTTCTGGGCAAGCTATTAAACACCACAGGACCAGAGTGAAAAAACGTGTAGGTATAGAAATGGCTTGCAACCACCCTGCCCTCTCAAGACAAAGGTGGGAATGCAGATGGCAAGAGAAACAAGAAGGAAACTAAACTCTCAGTGGCACTGTTGAGTTGCTAAATCAAATCAACCCTGAAGTCTGGCCTATTGCTGGCCTTTCAGTTAGGCAAGCCAGGAAATACCCTTCCTATAAGTCACCTTGAGTTGGGTTTTCTGTAACTTGCAATTTAGTACATCTGCACTGATAATGTTGACAACTAAACAATGGCCTTTTGACAAAATACAAGTTATTTGTGAATTTCTCAATAAACACTTTAAAAAACATCATGAACATATTTTGACACCATAAATTTGATTAAGAAATCATAAGATACAGATGATACTATGAGATGGATCTGATACAATGACATAGTGCTTTTGACATAAGTGGAAATGATGTACTCATTTGTACACATGGAGAAATAAGAACAAATGAGATAAGAACATACCTATGGTAATTGACATGATATGGACATAATACACAATACTTGTAACAGGAAATGTAAGGTATAAATAATTATTTTTTATTTCCATCTGTACCATGTACTATATCATAGACAATGTAAAAAACAATTATGGGGTGATACCCAGACATTAGTCTCCATTCCACCTCAAATGTTACAGTGTAAGTTTAAATCCTGGATTTTGTTTTTTGTTTTATTACAAACTCAGACTATTTGATGAGTCAGGGCTGGCTGCTGTCACTTACACAACTACATGCTTTGAGTGGGAGGTCTAACAAAGGGTCCCAGAAGTGGTCATCAACCTGTAGGCCTCTACAGCATAGGAAGGGCATGGGAGAGAATGTTTCCATAGACTGGCAGCAGCCCCAGCGTTAAAACAGGTTCAGCATCTAACAGGGTGGGCATCTGTAAACCCACCACCAAGACTGTTTCCAAGCCCTGAGCAAACGCACACCTCAACACTCTGGATCCTGACAACATAAAGGCTGATGACATTCATTGCTAAACATCTAACAACTGAGATCTTTTGAAACTTTGACCTAATAAAGGCTGAACCATCAATTTTTTTTGTTTTTGTTTTTGTTTTTTGAGACGGAGTTTCACTCTTGTTACCCAGGCTGGAGTGCAATGGCACGATCTCGGCTCATCGCAACCTCCGCCTCCTGGGTTCAAGCAATTCTCCTGCCTCAGCCTCCCAAGTAGCTGGGACTACAGGCGCGCACCACCATGCCCAGCTAATTTTTGTATTTTTAGTAGAGACAGGGTTTCACCCTGTTGACTAGGATGGTCTCGATCTCTTGACCTCATGATCCACCCGCCTCGGCCTCCCAAAGTGCTGGGATTATAGGCGTGAGCCACCGCGCCTGGCCTTGAACTGTCAAATTAACATACAGAAAACCATGGTTTTAAAATTATTTTCTTCAGATTAAGTTTCTGGAAAGCCAAGAGTATATATATCATAGACTTTTAATACAGTTGACCCTTGAACAACTTGGGGGTTAGGGTGCCAACCTCTCATGCAGTCAAAACTCTGTGTATAACTTTTGGTTCCCGAGAAACTTAACTACTACTAGCCTATTGCTGACTGGAAGTTTTATTGAAAACATAAACAGTTAATATGTATTTTGTATGTTATACACATTATATGCTGTATTAAGATAAAGTGAGATAAAAAAAGAAAATGTTATTCAGAAAATCATAAGGAAGTGAAAATACATTTACAGTACCATACTGTATTTACCAATACCATAAGTTTAAATTGTCTGTTTGCAAAATGAATCATCTGTCTGAAGCGTCAGGCAACCACTCCTCAATCTAGCAACCAATTCAATGCTGTCAGGACTTTTCTTGGCTTCTAGGGAGGACTGCCAGCACCACTAGTGGCACTTCATATAGTTCCCATAGTGTTATTCAAAGTTTGTGGCACTGCACTACACACAATAAAACATACTCAAGAACTTCAAGAGATCACTTTTTATCATGATCTGAAGTGTACTAGAGCGAGGAAGTGCTCCCACAGAGATGTTCAGCATCATAGTGCCTTCCGAGTAGATACCCCCAATGCTCGAGCACACTGTAATAGCATCAGGAAGTGGCTATGGGATTATTACAGGAGTACTGTGTGTACTACAGTTAATTTTATGCAGTTATAATTTAATACTGCCTCTTTATATTTGTTTACATTTCTCTCAACTATGAATAGCACCATGTACAGTCTGTGTGTGCATAAGTTTAGATAAATTTTAACTTTTTATAATAGATTTGTGCATATTTGGTAGTAAATGATAAAACTGATTAGTATCTACATGTATTTTATGCATTCATGCCATATATAACTTTTTCTCAAATTTTTTCCATATTTCTAGACTACTCAATTCATCTGAGTTTTTTTCAAACTGTTGCAATTCCCCAAATAATTTTCCAAGGTATTTATTGTTTAAAAATCTGCATACAAATGGACCCACACAGTTCAAGCCAGTGTTGTTCATGGGTCAACCTTATTTTTAGGTGTCAGGTACCTAACCTGCATCATACTACACAACTCAATCAGAAAAAGATTTAATTATTCTTGGGAAATGAGGATTAAAACCAGTAAGCACTAAAATGTTTAAGTAATGCCAGTTCTCTAGAATGAAGTCATTGCAGCAAGGGCCGTATTAAAAACTAGAATATAACTAAAGTTTCACCACAACTCTAGTCAGAACAAGCAAACCTGAGAGTCCAGGACTGGTCATCAAACAGGTATTCGCCATTCTTAATAACATCACTAAATTAAAGCTGCCTCTTTCTTTCTTTCTGATTTTTATTTTATTTATTTATTTTTTTTTTGAGATGGAGTTTCACTCCTGTCACCCAGGCTGGAATACAATGGTGCGATCTCAGCTCACTGCAACCTCCGCCACCCAGGTTCAAGTGATTCTCCTGCTTCAGCCTCCTGAGTAGCTGGAACTACGGGCACAAGCCACAGCACCCAGCTAATTTTTTGTGTATATATATATTTTTTAATAGACACAGGGTTTCACCGTGTTGGCCAGGCTGGTCTCGAACTCCTGACTTCAGGTGATCTGCCTGCCTTGGCCTCCCAAGTGCTAAGATGACAGGCGTGAGTCACCGTGCCCAGCCACTTTCTTTTTTTAAAACCTTCAATCATTTGTTGGTTTTGAAGACAGAAGAACTAATATAGAACAGATCAACTTTTATTGATCTGTTATTATCTGTTGTTATTTCCAGCTACAGTTTAACTCCTTCCTTTTGCTGCCAAATTGTAGTCTGTTCTCCCTGTGTTATTTCTGCCTTATCTATACTACTAGAAATTTTTAAAAACCATGAACCTAAACTATATTTATGAATTGATGTGTATTATGAAATGTACAATCTGGCCATATTTTTATTACATCTATTCTTTTTCCTTTTTTTCTTAAACTACATCTGTCTCTCTTTTCCAAAACAGTCTTCCCATCTCTGTACACTTCATTTCAGAAACTGTTATGGAGCACAGGTTAGGTTCAGAGAGTTGCTAAAAATTAATCATCAGACCAATAATGAAGGTCTTGGCTGTGCACCTCCCATGTGAGCCCAGGCCTCCAGCCCAAGCATACCTCCTCATGGGTACTGAAGGGGAGGAGTAAACAGCTCAGGACACCTCCTTCAAGCAGTGGGAGTCAGACCTCACTGCTAACCAATGCACTCTGGAGCCCTGAGACTGGCCATGCTTCCTTACACAGCACATCTGGGGCAATGGAGAGAAGGGCCAGTGGAACAGGGACTGGCTCAGCCAGCACCGTTGGATCTTTTGTGCTCCTCCCACTCAGGCATCACTTATGTGTACCATCCCCATGAGGCTGGCTGACTCCAAGAAGTTAACATAAAAGCAAGCTTCATCTCATAATTATGAAGATTAACACAATCATAAAGAAGAAACATGTTTGATGTGTGACATTTTTTAAATGGCAATGAACAATTACACTGTGGCCAATCACAAGTACATCAAACTAGGCATTCACAGAATTCATATAAAATAAGCATTCGCAAACTAGAAAGGAACATAAAATACTGGGAACAGTTGAGTATTGAGCTGGTTGGTCTCTAAGTAATGTTCCTGCTTCTCTTTTATGGTTACATTTGTGCAATAAATTAGAAAACACGAGGTAGCCAAAGAATATATGAAAAAATGTAGTAATCATCAGAGAAATGCAAATTAAAACCACAATGAGATATTCCTTCACACCTGTTAGAATGGGTACTATAAAAAACACAAAAGATAACAAGTATTGGTGAGGATGTGGAGAAAAGGGAACCCTGTACACTGTTGGTGAGAATGTCTATCAATATAACCATTACAGAGAACAGTATGGAGGTTCCTCAAAAAATTAAAAATAAGGCCAAGGCAGTAGGATCACTAAAGACTAAGAGTTCAAGAACAGCCTGGGCAACATAGTGAGATGCTATCTCTACACACAAAGAATTTAAAAATTAACCCCAGGAATAGGGCATGCACCTGTGGTCCCAGCCACTTGGAAGGATGAGGTGGGAGGATCACTTGAGCCCAGGAGT